TGTCAGATCCTTTTGCAAGTGTCAATGTGACACCTCTAGCAGTGTCGGACACTCTTAACATTCCGCTTCAATAAATGGCAACACCTGTGAAGGCATCATAAGGGTGTCAGATGCTTTTAAAAGAACATTTTTGACACCTTTTAGGGTGTTTGATACCTTAGAGTGTTTGATACCCGGATGGGTGTGGGTGTCGGACACCTATTAAGGTGTCATGCTGAATCCCATTAAGGTATATCTAAACGCTCGCATGCGAACGAACACTTGAAAGGGTGTCATCGTGGTGTTGTACACCTTAATGATTCCCTAAACAGCATTTTTCAACACCAATCTGGGTGTTCGATGACACCTCCAATGGTGTCTGACACCCGTAAAACACCCCTGGGGAATAATTTTTTTTTCTCAGTGTTCTACTGAAAAATAACCACGTCAACAAATGTACGGCCCTTCAGGTATTAAGTGGTTGGTTGCCATCATCACAATAATCGATCTGCATTGAGGAATACGTCTAATGGCTGTTGAAAACCATTGCCGAAGTGTGTGCACGAACCCCTTTCTCATTTCTATTGAGTCATTTTACAGGAGTGTCTCTGTCATTCAAAGTTATTGTACCAAAAGCACATAGGCTAACCAACCACTCTTTTGCTGGAGGGCCGTACCTAATCTAGGAAGACAAACAAACTTGCCAATGGTTGTTTATCATCATAACGCCTTGCGACATCTCATTTCGGAATTCAAGGCCCTCTGTTATTTGCTTACAACAATCGATACACTTTCTTAGACACCTGCGTTTCTAATCTCCATATTCTGCACTGCAACATGAATAACGTCGGCTTTCATCGCCGAAACCAATCAGAACCCCACTGCGAGTGCTTCAATCAGAAATACCTCAAAGCAGCTGCTCTGGAAAGGATGAAGAGATCACACAGTCGGGTGGGATCAAATGAGATCAGGGCATCGCAGCTGGCTTGTGGAAGCTGAACACCTGCAAATGAAAGTGCAGCTCTGCCGTGTAGGTGACGCATGTAGGACGCTGGAATAGCTCAAGTTGACGGCCCTCGACGACACATTTGACAAGCACCAGAGAGGATGAGCGGGTCATGTGACCTGCACATGTGGTCAAGGTCGTTAAGGTCACATGGGTGTCTCGGAATGTTTTATAATTGATCATGATCGCACTCGCTGAATTTCGCATCTTTTTTAGGGATTCCCCTACTTTTATCAGGCTTTGACAGGATGTCTATAATGCAATGCAAACTTTGTGGTCAGTGCAAAAGTTTTTGGATGGCGTTAAGTGGCAGCTGATTCCCAAATCTATTTCTTGCACCCAATATATTGATTACATTGACTCAGTTAAAAAGAAACTGGAATTGTTTCGTAATTAGGTACTTCAACCACCATTCATGTCCCACATGAGCTTTCAAGCATGCCCTTTTCTCGGTAGTCCTTTGCGCTGGCGAGGCCCGGCCCCAGAGAGTGTCTGGTATGGCAGAGGACCCGCGGCTCATTATACGAGCTGTGATAAAGCACCTCGCTGGGGAGGCGCGATCTCTCTACTAGTTGTCAGCACGCTGGATGAAATCATGCCTGGATAGCTGAAGCATCAACCATGGCTGATCAAAACGCATGAATTCTACAGATAGCTGCATGCAATATGCATTCAGTAATCTATGGCGAGCACTAACGATGAGGCTGTGGTGCAGTGTCGGGAATGACATACCCAGCTGGCGTCGAAGTCTAGTAGGAAAATCTGGAAATCCCCGACGTGACGTCACGTCGGGGATGACCGACGGCACCTTGCACTGAAAGATACGGCAGAACGGCTATTTTTGAAAAATGATTAAAAATACTTTTATGTTGGTATGACACATAAAACGCTTATCAGCATGTTCCTCATCATGTGAGAAAGGCATATCCGTGGTCCAAAATAGCCGAGACCCTCCCAATTTCCAACCATCGACCTGATAAGCAAAGGATGTAAGCGTAATCCTTAAGGGCGACTTTCCGTTACATATCCGTGCATATGCAGCCTTATGGAAATCGGTAGTTTGGCGATTGGCGACGCGCGCGACAACTGTGCTGCGACTGTAGCGACACCTGGTGGCTGCTTTTCTGCTGTATGTAGGTATTGGGGTTTTGCCAGATGTGGTTCCTACTGCTACACCACTATGTTGACCCAATACTAGAAAAGTTATTTTGCTAGTAAAAGGCAAGCAAATTGAAAATTGATAATTTGCTTACAAATGATAACGAGATAATAATAAAGAAACTTTGATTGAATAATTATTTAAATAATCAACCGTGAAACTATATTCTGGTAGGTTTAGTAGAAATAAGTCCGTGCAACCTTGTATTTAGGGCCTTGGACATACCTACCTGACTTTTGTCTCGAAAAATAATTATATAAGCATTGACGCTTAACGGCCCGAAGCTCTCACCTCATATCACTCCGCAGACGGATCCCTACTGCCCCGTGGTGCGCAATACTGGTCGTAATCCGCGGGGCAGCAGTAACGGGTTCAATCTGACCGTTTTCGCGCCGGGGGCGGTGTGCGCGGCTACGTCCGGCGGCCATTTGCTGGTGGCCGTAATGAAATTGGCCGGCCGGGGATCAGTCACCAATCAATCCGCGGTGACCTGCCGCGACCTGCCGACATCCGGCTCGTACGGTGCTCCGAGGGTCGCCGCGAGGGCCGCCGCGAAATGTCGCTCCAAGGACCGTCGCGAGGGTCGTTCCGAGCCGCTGACCGTGTCCAGCCGCATCTCGGTGCAGCTGTCAGCCCCGGGATCTGCCACAGCTGTGTTTGTCAGTCCCAGGGTGCTGCCCCAGCTCTGGACCTGTCAGCCCCCAGGGACCTACCGACGGACAGGTGGGGCTGCCCCGGGTCTTACCGCCGTCACACGGCTATCACAGAGCTGGCTGACACCAATCCTGCAGGGATATTAGGCATTCGGCAGAAAGTTAGGACCGTCGCGCAGCAGCAGTTTTTGTGCTGTTTCTACGCGCAGGCGGTGTCTTGGAGGTCGGTATGTCAGTGACACTGCTTGCGCGCGCTTTATGGAAGAAGGCCTTAAATTACTGGCTCGTCGTTGCCTTATAGACAGAATATCGTTTTCCTTTTCCATCGATTCTGCCTTTCAAGGTGGCGCCTGTGAAGTGTTTTCTTTGTCTCCGATGTTTAGAAAAAGCCATCAGTCCCGTGTGTTAGTAAAGCTCTTGAAAGCACTCACTTTCTCAAATATTTGTTTGAAGCTCCAGCGACAGAAATGGAAATGAAACCTGCTGAGAGCTGAATCTTTTGTACGAATCTATCGCTCTTAAATTTCCGGTCTGTTGGGTCTGAGGAAGACATGGCTTATCCTATTGGCAGCTCAGGCGGAATGAGACGTGACAAAGTAAGTTCTGTTGGGATTTTACACCCACAACACATCCGCTCACGACGCTCTGGGCTGGACTTGGGCAGCCAACTCCGCATGGGAGCGGCCAGGTGTGAGCCACCTCAAACTTTCAGCTCTGAGAGCGGAAACACTCCGTGGGGCCCGCAACTGAGCACGGCGGCCGACCGGGCGTGCTCGGCCGTACTGGGCCGTGCTCGGCCGTGCTCGGCGCTCGCCACGGTCGGCAGCCTCGCGGAGACACCTCCCAAAGACCCCCTGGGGGGACATCGGGTGCTGGGCCGGTGCCGTCCCGGCGGACGGCCGGCGACGAACCGCACCAGCCCTACGCCGGACCGGCGCCGAGCCGAGCGCCAGAACAGTAATCAGGTCAGCGGTTCGTGCCCGTGATAAGATTCTCACCTGAAAGTTCAGTGCCCTCATATGATATAATTAAATGGGTCTGGACAGCCCGGACACTTTGGAGTCACGTGATGTCCTGAGGCTGGGTCCGTTTCCTCAGAAGTGCTCAAATAATGCCATGGATGAGACACGAGATTGTCAGATTGGATTTATCACGAAGTGTGACGGCTGCTGTCATCATGCACATGATTTATGCAAACGGCCGCGCGGGCCTTGTGCCAGAATGTTCCCGATTGAAATTGCCATTCTGTGTGAGCACTGAACTCAGCTGTTTGCACTGCTGCATTGATCCTGATCATACATACATGCATACATACATACAAGCAGAGTGTTTCTCAGAACCACTGTCGTTAAAAGAAGCACAACCAGGATTCGATCCTGATACTATCCCTTTGCTCCAGCTTCCGTTCATAATTCCAGCTCAACTCCCTCTCCTCCCTCCCCCACGCCATAGAACTTCGCGGAAAATAAGCGTGCTGCTCTCTACAATTCAAGTGAACTCATCTCCAGACATAGGCGGCGGAACGGGGAGGGCACCGGGGCACCGTGCCCCTCTTTGATTTTGGCATTTTAACATTAGCCCTATGGGCGTTGCATGGAAAGAATGGGACCAAAAGTCGGCAGTGCCTGCCCTTAATTGAGGATGTTCCGCCGCTACTGTCTCCACTCTCCAGAAAGAAATCAACACTTCCCTCATCAACACCGAATGACCGATTAATTTGACACTTCAAGCGATTGATATGACATGTCCTCCGAGCCGACACTCACTAAACGCTAACGTGTCAGTTAGGTAAAATCCATGAAGCGAGCCGGACGCTAGCTCCGCGGTTTCCTATCACTAGGATGCGGGCTGCAGGCCGGTATCGGCAGCCTTTGATGGTACGACCGCCCTGGGCACTGTGTGTATGTGGGTCCGGTCGGCGGTCGTCGGTCGGCGCCGGGTGGCGACCGGCGGCGACGGACGGTCGTCAGTTGGTGCTGACGGTGCCGACGGTGAGCACCGACGGCGGACGCGCCGCTCTGTGACCGGACACTCTAGGTTCGACTCAGAACAGTGACTGTGGTCGGACGGTGAGGTGTCGGACGTGGATCCACTCCGCTCTGTGCCGCCATCCAGTCACCAGATCAGTAAGCAGAGAGACAGAGGCTCAACGGGAAGAACAGCACGCTGGGGACAATAAATTGAGACAGTTGCCCGTCTCAGAATGGCCAATAACGGGAGCGGAACTGGTTTTGTCCCCGGAGTGCCACCAAGTGCCGCGCCCGGCATTCTTTTGGACGATTTGACAACACCAAGTGCCGGAAATACGTCTCAAGAGGGCGGTGAAGAATACCTGATTTTCCAGCCGGGGATACAGGCCGGCTTCTACGTCATTTACTCGGCGATACTTCTGCTGGGAATCACCGGCAACTGTCTGGTGATGTACGCCGTGTTTCGCAACAAGGCCATGCAGACGGTGACCAACTACTTCATCCTGAACCTGGCGCTCTCCGACATCCTGCTCTGCGTGCTCTGCGTGCCCTTCACGCCGCTCTACACGTTCCTCCAGCGCTGGATCTTCGGCGCCTTTCTCTGCCACCTCGTCACCTGCACGCAGGCCGTCAGCATCTACATCTCCTCGCTGACGCTGACTGCCATCGCCATCGACCGGTTTGTAGTCATCATCCACCCGTTCCGACAGCGGATGAGCAGGACAATGTGCGTGGGGCTCATCATCTGCACCTGGCTCTTCTCCATTGTGGCTTCTCTGCCGTACGCCGTCTTCGTGGAGTACACCGTCTACGACGACATCCACGTGTGCCAGGAGAACTTCCCGGGCCAGGTGCGGCTGACGTTCGGCAGCATCACCACCGTGCTGCAGTTCGTCATCCCGTTCCTCATCATCACCAGCACGTACACGCTCATCTCGCTGAAGCTCTCCAGCCGGGCGCGCTGCAAGCCGGGCTCCAAGACGCTGCGGAAGGAGCAGGCCGACCGCGAGCGGAAGCGGCGCACCAACCGGATGCTGATCGCCATGGTGGCCGTGTTCGGCCTCTCCTGGCTGCCGCTCAACCTGATGAACATCCTGGACGACGTGTCCACCAACCTGGACCTCGGCTGGGCGCGCTGGCCCTACTTCCACCTGCTCTTCTTCGTCACGCACGCCATCGCCATGAGCTCGACCTGCTACAACCCGTTCCTCTACGCCTGGCTCAACGAGAACTTCCGCAAGGAGTTCAAAGACATCCTGCCTTGCTTCCGTCGACGACGCCAGAGTCGAAGTCGCGCGATGTCGTGCGCGTTCTCGGACACCCGTCACCTCTCCACGACTCGCACGGCGATGGAGCCGGAGACACAGATAAGACAGGACCTGCCCTCGAGGGCCACCTTCCAGAATAACACCGAGCTGGTGGATCTGCGCACCACCTGCGGGAACACCGGACCGGCCGAAACGGCACCGGTCCAGAACAATGTCCAGGCAGGCGAGGCGGTCGCGGTACTCTGATCCCTTCCATGTTACGTGAAGCGTGGAGGTGATCGTGGCTGACTTTCCAGATTGGAAGCGATGTTTGGTGATATGTGTGCATGTCTATAAAGCGACATGTGAGTCAGCCATGTATATGGTATTGTAAAATGCTATCTGCGCATCGCAAAGTGCACAAAACACATCTATCTTTGTAAACGATGTCATGTGGAGCTTTGTATGTGTAATGTGTATTATATGTTTGAAAAAGTAGGCGTTTTTCATCACGATAATGGAGACTTGCGTATTTTCACACAAGCTGGTACATGTAGACACACGATTTACGTGGACCATCCCCTGCCCCTTCCAAAACAACAATTCACGAAGATTGAACAAATAAGCTCTATTCCGCTGGAGATCGTAGCTATTTTGCAACGCTAAGCCTGATTGAATTTTATTTAACTCTTATTTAACCAGTATAGCGCCTTTTGGGGCGACTAACGGAGCGAGCGAGCGGGTGAGTCTTGCACGTGCGAAATTTCGAGGGGGTACCTCCAACTGACTTGTGCAGGGCACCCTACTGACTGGTCTCTAGCGATGTGCCAAATTTGGGCACAATCGGCCCAGCCGTTCTCGAGATCTGGAAGCGGCACCCTGCACGTGCGCACGTGCAAAATGGGTCCCAACTGACTTGTGCACGGCACCCTAGTAACCGGTCCCTAACTGTGTACCAAATTTGAGCGCAATCGGTCGAGCCGTTCTCGAGATCTGGAAACGACCCCTGCACGTGCGCACGTGCAGCGGCACCCCAACTCTGGCACATGGATATGCAGTGCCTAGTGGGTGCCTACCTACATGCCAACTTTCAGCGCAATCGGCCAAGTAGTTACCGAAATATTGCAACAATTACAAAAGTGACACCTCTTCGTTTTGCACGTGGCACGTGCATAAGGGGTCACCCACATGCATCGGGAATAGTCCAATACTTGGTAGAAGGAATGAAGCTACCCTACAAAAATTACCGCATGTAAATCGGTCAAGTGGTTGCTGAGATATAAGCCTCGCAAAAGCGTCCGCACGGCCGGCCGGCCGGCCGGCCGGCCGGCCGGCCGGCCGCTCATACTCAGAAATTTCCGTTATTCTACGTAAGACTCCGCTCGCTTCGCTCGCTCCGTAATCATATAGCTGTTAACACCTTCGGATCTGAGTCGAGCCTGCGCCATGCCCTGCACTCCGACGCTCCAGCGCTGAGTGTGGCAACTTGGTAGTTTGTAACATAGTCCAGACCATCTGGGTACGCCGCAAGCTGGTCAGCCACTAACGGAGCGGGGGGGGGGGGGTATTTGGGGAAAATACCCCGACATTCCCCCGCAGCGCCAGAAATCGACAAATTCTGCGTTTTTCGAGAATAAATGGAAACCAAAACAACTTTTCAACAATAACAACTTTTTCTGGAGGGCAGATTATTGATAACATAAAACCTTCAAACTTACTGCCGAAAGAGAGTTGAATATACTTTCTAATGCGCTTTGCAGAGCGGCGAACTAGCTCTATTTCATCACGAGTTATGGAGCGATTTTCTTAGGGAAATTATAGACACTCCGCTCCGAGCCCTCCGAGCCTCGGACAGTTCAGCTCGGGGCTCTGGAGCACACACAGTTCCACCGGTGTTTCCGGAACGAACTGGCCATCTCGCCGCCTGTCGTCGCCTCACCATCGCTCTGCTTCAATACACCTCCCCTCCGAGACACCCCGCGTATGAGCGGAGGAACGGAGCAAACGGCGACACAAAGCTAGCACTACCACGAGCGGCGGCACGTTACACTTCAAATTTCCAGCCACATCAATCACCATACCATTTTATTTCGCCCGCAAATGATAGGCAGCAGCAACACGAACGATTATGTAAAAACCTTGTCTTTCCCTGACGAATCTCATTTCTAGCCGGTCGAACGTTCCCCTTAGTCCACACTGAAACGACATGGAACCATGCACATACACGCTCCTGCTCTCGTAAATACCGGCCAGAAGCTAATATTTGATTATCATTAAATCGCCGGTCAGCGCTCGAGGATGGAAGTAATCAATTTTAGCGTCCAAAGTCTCGTAATGGCTAGCTAGCCATTGGTAGTGACGCTAATATCCATAGCGTGCGCGTGTCGCATTTGTCCAATAAAATGCACATAAGGTTGGGATTTAAGCTCACAACACATGCACCACGGTTGGCAAGGCTTGCTCGCCAGTGTGTGAATAAATATACAGGTAAATTGTTTAGGCTTGTCTACTGTCTAGTGCCATAGACATCAGCTCAGCCAGATAAACGCACCTTTCGCATGGCGAATGGCATCAGTTGACTCGGGCTGGTGAGTTTCATAGGGCCAGGGTTTGCAATTCGACGGTCTAGTCCCCAGTTGATTCTCGCCCTGTGGATAATAGGTATGCTTTCTATGGCTACTGTGGTTTCATGTATGTGGTTTTGACAAGCCGGCAAAGCTCCATCATTGCCACTTATGGTGTTCATCTATACTGTGAACATTTGCCGATCAAACAGTTTTTTTGTGCGTGCTCTTTGGCCGGAGCATTCGGCCGGTTGGCTTTTAACGCCTCACATGTCGACCATGCAAAGAATAACACAAACGACTGATTAGCGCATTCTTGAAAACAGGTGGTGAGTCCAAGGCCCTCTAACCAGGTATGGACATCGGCCAATCGGGGCGAATCACGGCCGGCGGGAGGATGACGTCATCGGCCCATACTCCGCCGACTCCGCCCACCCACGGCAGCGAAACTGAATGGAGTTTGCGTCAATTGTTTCGTGATCGATTTTATCCAACTGGAATGCAATAAACGTTCAGCGGCCCGTTTGACTCAATATCCTTGCAACCTTTCAACACCAAAAAATTGCAGCCAACTTTCTCTATTTTGCAGTCGGTGCCGACGGTACCGACTGCTGTACCTAAGCCGTGGGCCCGCCCGTAGCAAACGGGTAGACAGAAACTAGGTGACCAAAACACAAAACCAGCTGTTTTGTACACGATCATTAGCATGTCATAGGTTGATATAAATGCCAAGCTATGCACAATGCACATTCGTGGCTAGACAGCATAGAAGTTAGAACCAAAAATACTGTCAACAAAATACTGTCAACTACTGAGTTCAAGCGCGGATCCAGCTTGGAGTTGGGGAGGGGGAGGGGGCAACTGTTCATCGACGGCGGACACAGTGACTGTGTGGAACTCATTGTAGTTTTGGTTATCGGCTCGGGAACGGTCGACGGCACTGTGCTGCTGCTAGGTGCCTCCTCAGTCGTTTGACGGGGCTCTGGAGCACCTGCTAAGCTTTGACTAACCGCTGCGGCTCCGGTGCCATCGGCTCAGAGACCAACAAGCTGTACCGGCCGGAACTGATCGGCGATTCTGATTATGTTAGGCTGATTAAGTGATTCTGTTAGTGCGGGAGAGGCAGATGGAGCCTGGCCGGTGGGTTCTGCCACAACGCGGGGCTGATGGGGTAAGGTGCAGCCCATATACAAAAAAGTAAAAGCGTTGGAAATATCGCTTCACAAAGTCAGAGTATTTAACATGGAAACGCTATGGCCCTAGGAACTGAATGTCGTGGCGAATTTCGATGCAACCAAATTTCGGCGGGGACTTGCATCCACCTGCCGCTGGTCAGCCGTGCCACGGACGCTCTGGACTTGTCGCTGCCGGTGCTGGCCGAGCTGGCCGCGCTCTGGACCGACTGCGCCGAGCTACTGCGGCCATGGTGCCCGACCTGAACCAGTAGTAGCTGACGCCGGGGCGGCGCTCGGCGAGGCCGGTGCTAGTCGGAGATGGGGCCGCTGCCGGCTGCGGTGTCGCGCGGTGCAGCTGCTCGGCACGCTGGCCACGCCGCCGCCACCGGCTTGATGGCAGACAGCTTGCAGGCGCAGCTGGCCGCCTGGAGTCAGCGGCCTGTGCTTGAGCTGGCCATGCCATTCGGCATTCGCTGACATGAAGACCAGCCAGTGACCGTATACATTCCTGCCGCGTGTCGTCCAGCTGGCGCTCAGCTCCGGCAACGCGGAGCTAAGACCTCCGGGCTCCGCGTGCCAGCTTGCTGAAAGCCGTGACCGCGTTCACACTAGGTGAACCGCTTGCTACACGGCGCTATCACGAATAAGGCATTTACGCGATAATAACCAGTTCAGAAGTCTTGTACTTACGCGAAAAGCTGAACGAAGGGGTCCAAATGGGTGAATTCCAGATAAAAAGGTCAAATTAGGTCACGCTGGGTCATTTCAGGTCACAAAGGTCACTTTAGGTCACCTCAGGTCACCCTGGGTCAGGTCAGGTCACAGAGGTCACCCAGGGTCACGATGGGTCAGGCCAAGTCACAGAGGTCGCAATGGGTTGGATCACATTGGTCAGGGCTATCATGGGCCGATGACGTCATTCCTGCTCATCAGCTGGCTACAACATCGGCCTATGGCACAGCATTACGGTGTCACCCCCCTGGGTGAGTCCCTATTTTAGCAACCACGGCTCGATATATCTGAATCAAGTATTTCACTGACCGTCTTCGCATTTGCCCTTGTAGTTGTGTGCACTTGATACACTGCCCATCAAGGCATATTGCAAAGCATTCTGCACCAGCGCGAAGGTTTCATCACGGATCATAGAACGGATAGGCAACTCCCCCCGCTGCCCATTGTTATCGGTGTACCCGCGGAGCGGGCTGCCATCTAGCGGCGCGGATATCTTCACTAAGGAGGGGAGCCGGCCGGCCGCCGCACCCAATGTAAAGGGCAAGGGGAAACGGGTGGGAACCATTAAATTAGAGAGTCTCTTCAACAGCTGAAATGTTACTAAAACATGTCAATGTTAACCCTCGCCCGTATTGGTGTTTTTTCCAGCCGCGAACGTATAAGCGGGGGGGGGGGGTCCGTTGGACCCCCCCCCTTGCCGTTTCGCCCCTGATCGAGCTAGAGCTTCGCGGAAAAAACGAGCGTGTTGCCCGTGACGAGAGAAAGCCGATGATACCCAATTTTAAGGTCCTAGGTCATCGGTTGACCTTCCAGGTCAGGTCAATGACCCAATTAGGTCGGGAAAATCGGGACCTGTTATAACGTTGTAAAGGGTGGCTGCTATGGGTTTTTTTTTGGGTGCTGATCACGAATATCATGTTCATTATGATCATAGATGATGGCTTCATGCATTTAGGCCAGATCGGGTCAGGTCAGGTCAGGT